AAACCACACTCAATATTAACGTTGTGTTTGCTAACATGAATCATGCCGAGTTTAACAAGCTAATGTTAGATAACGAACGTTACTACATTAAGTTACCTGTAACATAAGTTAACGTTAATTACTCACGGATTTAGCTAAAATAACAGTCTGACAACGTTACAGTCAAAATTATGGATATGAACACAAACACTACGTTAGGTTATTAACTTAGCAAAATAACAATGACATGTTTTCATACCTGATATCGCCAGCAGGATAGCAGTTATAACGTGAAGTTCATGCTAGGACTAGGAGAGCAAACAGATCCTGATTCTTCTACTGTGTCCATATTCCCATTTTTATTTTGTTCTCCGTTGAAATCCCAGAACTAAAATGTACTCAAATAATAATTTGGCATGCAGATGTTAAATATTCCAGATAATGATCCACGTAATTCATTAGGGACAGAGTATAGCTAAAGTCGTGCAGCCTTCAAACTTACGTACTTTCAAATTAAGGCGCGCTCAGTGCTCATTGGCCAGTTTGCTGGATGACAGCTACATTGGCCAATCATACACATTCAAATTCAAAAATGGCTTTTACACTGTACATATTGCCAAAGCAAGCGTTTGGATTTAAAAATATGAATAACAGTAATAAAAAACTAGATTTACAATAAATTAATTATAATCTATACTGTTTGTAATACTTTATTATATGTGATTCTTAGTACACAAATATGCTGTTAAATGTAGAATATTCACTCTCGTTCATTTTCTATACTGTTTCACGTGTACTTAACAAACATATTTTTGTTTTAAGAGACAATTACTATAACAACTCAACAGCACTTAAGACACACATTTTAAGCATATTCATTTAAATGAATAAAACTACCTCTGACGGTGGTGAAACTGTTTCGTTAAAGCGTAATTATTTTTGTTGCAACCCGTGTTTCGTTAAAGCCTGTGTAAAGTTCATTTGTTTCAATGTACCGTTAAATGTACGCTTAAAGACCAGTGTGGCTTATTTATGTTCAAAATAATATTTGTTTTAAACTTCAGTGGGTGCGGCTTATATTCAGGTGCGCTCTATAGTCCGGAAATGATGGTACCTTAAAATAAAAAAAATACTTAAATTGTCAGTATGGAGATAAACCTTTATATAACGAGCAAAACATTTAATAACAGGCAAATATCATAATTATTACAGTAAATTTCTGGAAAAAAATGAGAAATAACTGTAGCTTGTCATTATTGGCATAACACGTAAAATAACAGGCTGGTTGTTCATTTACAGATAATTTCTGTAATTTTACTGTTTTTTATACTATTTAATAAAAACAGAAAAACTACTGTGAAAATTTAGAGTAATTTACTGTAAAATTATGTTTTTTTTTTACAGTGCACCGTTGCTAAGCTACCCCAACCCCCCTCCCACTCATTTTACCCAGCCCAAACTGACTATAGCTTGAGCCACTAAACTTTACTTGGTCCATGAGACCCATTAGATTTCTGACGGCAGCACAACCCATGCAGCCCTGTTATACCCATTGTTTGTTACCTTATAGTTTTACGTTGACAAACACTTCTCCAATATATTACATTAAGTCCCACACTCCTCTAATTTGACTCCTGCAGAAATTTCTCAGCCTTCTTTCCATCATTGAACATTTTCTTTTGTCGATTCCACATAAAAATAAGTGTTGCAGGATAAGCCATCCTATGCTTCACTTGTAGTTCTCGAAGACGCGTTTTTGCCGGGTTGAATGCTTTTCTCTTCTCCGCCATCTCCCTCGTAACATCCTCAAAAGAAGGAAAGCTTAGCGCCACAAATATTGCCCTTGGAGGTTTATTAGGGTCCGGCATTGGTACGAGTGAACGATGCGCACGTTCAATTTCAAATTCACTACCTGAAATGCTTTATCCAGAATCTCCGTCACATATTGATCCACTTTTCCTGGTACCTCCACACCTTCTTAAATTCCGATAATCCGTACATTATTTCTCCTACTGCGGTTTTCAAGGTCCTCCACACGTGACCACAACACCTCCAGCCTCTCCTCACATTTGTCCACTTTTGCCTCAGTAATCGCGCTAGCATCTTCAATGTCTGATATTTGCTGAACCGCCTCACCCAGCCTCACTTTTATATCTTCCACTGAGTCTTTCAGTTATTTAGTTGTGTGTTTAATAGTGGTGACATCTTTTGTCACCACCTGAAGAGTAGCATTCATTTTCTTTATTTCTTCTAACATGACCTTTTTGCTGTCGCTCCCCGTGCTGTCCCCCGTTGCCGCTGGAGGGGCGTCATCAGTCGCAGGTGTCCTTTCCGGCGACTCCGAGTCTGGGCCGGGGTGTAGCAGGGGCGAGGCTAATGCTAGCTTGCTTCTTCCTTGTGGTAATGTCGTGGTTTTAGAGTGAACAAGCATCGAACGGATAACGTTTTTAAGATGTTTAATAACGTTACAATATTGTTACAGCCAAATTGAAACTTACAATTCTGGAGTTCTGTTAGCGCTAAGAGAAGGCCTGAGAAGAGAAAGATCCCCTGGGAGCTTGCCCGTTTATGGAGTTCTGGAGCCCCTCCCAGACAGGATAAATGACCTATGTTCTACTCAGAAAAAATGTATCAGCCCATTGTTCCAATCAGTTAATGTTGATTCTTAACACAGAGTGATTGAAAATCTATCACAACATGCCTACTCATCCATTAGTTACATGCCCAAGCAATTTGCTGCTTGAAACACACAGACATGCTGTTTATTGCTGCGGTATTCCCTTTCTTGTTAATTATATGTTTAAATTCCTTATAGGTCTCGAGTAGCAAACGCTGCTCAGTCGCGGTGAACATTAGTGTTCTTTCTTTCCCCTTATTTGCCATTTAGTGAATTGATGAATCCTTGCTCCAGCAACCCAGGCTGTTACACTCAGGGTTTGAGGATTAGGAAGCAGGTGCAAGTGTTCCCAGAACAGAGAAGGCAGATCACAGGGATACTACTGAAATGATAATTTATTGGAACATAACTGGAACTAAGAACTACACACAACTGTGTGGAAAACAACAAGGGCACGTGGGCCAAAAACAAAACAGCGGCGGGAAAATTAGGGAATGGCAGAGGACTAGCACAAAACACCATGAACACCACACGAGGGAGACAGAAACCAGCAAATACAACAGAAACCCATACATGAACTGTGACAGGACCTCCCCCTTATGGCGCGGCTCCTGAAATAGTCCAGTTTCTCAGGGGGCAAGAGGAGGCCTAGAGGACGGTGCCAGCAAGACACAGAGTCAGGAGGCCGTACAGGAGAGGGCGGAGCAGAGGCCCAGATGGGTTGATGCGGGTCAGGAAGCCGTAGCGGCTGAGGCGGGGCAGAGGACCAGACAGGCGTGGGCAGAGCAAAGACCCTGACGGACTGGCTGATGCAGAGCAGAGACTCGGCCGGGTGGAGGCGGGTCAGGAGGTCAACCCGGCGGAAGCGGGTCAGGAGGTCAACCCGGCGGAAGCGGGTCAGGAGGTCGAACCGGTGGATGCAAAGCAGAGGACCAGACGGCCGCCCTCAATGTGCGGCGGAACAGCAGCCATTGTGGGCGGCAAAGCGGCGGCCATCTTGGGTGGCGAGGCGACACCTATTTTGTGGAGCAGACCGGCATCTTGTGCGACGGGCCGGCGGCCATCTTGAGCGACGGGCCGGCGGCCATCTTGAGCGACGGGCCGGCGGCCATCTTGAGCGACGGGCCGGCGACCATCTTGAGCGACGGGCCGGCGGCCATCTTCAGCGACGGGCCGGCGGCCATCTTGAGCGACGGACCGGCGGCCATCTTGGGCGACGGGCCGGCGGCCATCTTGGACGGCGGGGCGGCAGCCATCTTGGGCGGCGGGGCGGCAGCCATCTTGGGCGGCGGGGCGGCAGCCCTCTGGTGCTGAGGAGCGTAGGCCATCTTGTGCCGTGGAGCGACGGCCATCTTATGTGCTCGAGCTGCGGGCAGAACGGCTGGAGGCGAGGCGGGTATCAGCCGGAGGGTGGTGGGATCCCAGCTGAATTCCCCCTCCAGGAAATCCTCCTCTCCAGACTCGTCCTCTGGCTCAGAGTCGTCAACACAGTAAGGGGTTATGCACAGACGCATAAACCTCTCATCTAGGGTCTCCAGCAGTACTTCACACATTGTCTGGAATGCGGGAACTTGCTGCTCCCAGTAATGGTCGGATAATTCTGTTACACTCAGGGTTTGAGGATTAGGAAGCAGGTGCAAGTGTTCCCAGAACAGAGAAGCAGATCACAGGGATACTACTGAAATGATAATTTATTGGAACATAACTGGAACTAAGAACTACACACAACTGTGTGGAAACCAACAAGGGCACGTGGGCCAATAACAAAACATAAACCTAAACAGAGTAAACACTGGAGACAGAAACAGGGAATCTACCAACGAGCATACACCTACTGTGGGACAGGGACAGGAAATAATGATCTGACAAACACAACAGACACTGGGGAGACTATATAGAGAACATAAAGAGGACTAACAGGGAACAGCTGGCCAACGGCGGGAAAATTAGGGAATGGCAGAGGACTAGCACAAAACACCATGAACACCACACAGGGGAGACAGAAACCACACAGGACACAGGCTTTATGAGAAAAAAGTGCACGCGCAATTATCTAGACTATTTGAACCTGGCGTGTGTACACTCTTTATATCCACTGTAGGTATTGTATGGTGGCACATAATAAGATGTTTTATAGTGCAATAATGTCATTAGCTAATCTAGTACAATCCGGTTCTCATCAATGATATCAGTGTCCAGAAGCTGAGGTTGAAACTTTCAATAGGTAGCATTTGAAATGTTATTGAGAAAAAGGGTTTAAGATTTTAAGAGGTCCATCATCATGATGATTTTGTTTTCATTGAGTCCAGGTTGCCACAGAGTATTTTTTTATTTAACCTTTATTTAACCAGATTGAGCTGATTGAGCTGATTGAGAACAATTTCTCATTTGCAATGGCGACCTGGAAATCAGCTGGAATTCGAACCAAGGACGTCATACACACAAAGAATGCATTCTACCAGCGAGCTACCAACTGCTCCCAATTTGACATCTGTACGTCCAGATCTTGATGTATCCAGTGGCTAATGTCTTCATAGAGTTTTGCTGCATTGTTTGTTAAAAATGTGGTTTGCCTGTGTGGACGGTGCCAGGGAGAACAAAACATTAAAAGGTGGACAATTTGTGTATTTACAAAGGTCAATTAAGATAGATGGTTAATTACAAAAGGGGTGAGAAATAAAGCAGGGTTTCTCATATCAAGTAAATCTTCAATGGCCTCCCCTTTGAAGGATTTTTTTAAAGTACTCCTATGGTTATATACTTCCAATATTCTTCTAGAACTGACCAAAGATCTTCTTTTGAACAAATGTTCTTGATAATCAGACTTTTTTCCAGAGATAAAAAAAACATGTTTACATTTTTCAGAAATCATAATTCCATTGATTTTGACAAGATCCCCAAAGCTGTTGTCTAAAATTCATCCCTAGACTATACAATGCGCAATTCACTAGGGTAGTGGTGCTACAAATCCTAGCGACCCTAGCGAGCCCTTATATCATAGTGGCTTCCTATTAGTTTGTAGCTTTCACTCAGCTCATTCATCATCTCTTCTGTGTATATTTTCTTCAGGACTTTAAACCTGTAAACCTGTATTCACAAACTTTGCCTGGCAATATAAATTCAACAATCTGGGTCATATGTTCTGTTAGTATTATGTTGTTGAAACATACACCAAAAATATGTTTTACTCCTTGCTTTTTGGGAAGACAGAAGGCATTTTTATTCCGATGTCAGGCAGGTAATTTATCTTCATTTTTTTGCCATTACCAAGTCCTTCCTATTAACCTGTCCTATCTGCCTGAAAGGAACTCCAAAAAGCTCATTTAAAAAAACTTAGAAAATACAGCATCTGTTATCCATAAATAATAAAAATAATGACCCAAGCTCATAAATTTAAAAAAATTACATCACAAACGGTGGTCTACTTACATTTATATTATGATTGGTTAACATACCCACACCATTCTGTTGTGTTATCACCACACAAGTACTAATAGGCAATATTTAACACAAATCTAGAAGTTCCTTCGAGAAGCCATGCATAAAATAACTGAACATTCTGACAGCAAAATTGAGAAGAAAATGTCTTTATTGCCTATGTCACGATTGGTGTGGTGGCGTTGCTACACGGACATATTTCGGTGATGCACTTCCTTGTTTCACTTCCGTGTTTACGTTTGTCTCACGGCTGTTTGCACTTATAATCAATGGGATATAAGAGGGTCGCGAGCAGTGCACTCGTTGCTTCGCATTGTTACATGTCACACGTTATTTTAGAGGTGAGTGTGTTATACTACTGTTGTCATTATATGGGTTTTGTGTAAGACGCTATATGCGCACCTTTTATTTCATATCAACAGTTTAGTGTTTGTCGCCGTTTACGGTTTGTTTTAAGTTCGTGTCTTTAAATAAACCTGTCAAAACGGATATACGACTCTGCACATGGCTTCCTCACGCACTACACCTTGGACGGACCTTGACAGCCTACAGTTGCTGAAATGTATTAACTAAAATATATAACAAATCTTTAATGGAACTTCATCACATCACTTAAAATTGTGTTTACACAGATCCAACTAAGCACAATTAACAGAGAAAGTTTGTTGTAATTTTGGTTCTGTACTCTAGCTTCTTCAAACTCTTGTATCCTTTCAAACTTAAAGTATTTGAATTAATGCATCCAACACGTTGCCTGCGAGAAGTGATTGTTTAACTTCCACATAATATACCCAGACATTGACATGTGACGTCATTAGATTGTCAAGGTCATTCACTTCACTGTGTGTGTTACAGTTTTTTGGATTGCTTACACACTAAAATTAAAAGTAGTACACTATTAGCAAAACCTTACACTCAAGAAGCAAAACATCAGCCCATATTTGCACAACTATAAGCACATTGTCAACCTCACACTTGTTGCAAAACTCTACACACATGAATTTGCAAAACACTAAACACACTTAACATACCGTATTTTCCGGACTATAAGTCGCACTTTTTTATAGTTTGGCTGGTCCTGCGACTTATAGTCAGGTGCGACTTATATATTAACATTAACTTAAATACAACTGAAAATGCCCCCAAAAAGAAAATCCTATTCTGCGGATTACAAACTACAGGTAATTGTAACTACCCTGGTTAAACAAAATACTCTCGAAACGGATGCAAACTTGCACGTTTATTATTTCCAGCGTTCTGTAGAAAAACACCATAAACAACTCGGCACAATTGCACCGTGAAAACGGTTTGCCAAGTGCAACCAGCAGTAGAAAATATAAAACAATCTCTCAAACGTTCATCACTTTACAACTCTCTTTTTGTTCGCTCCTCTCTCAACTCTGGCCTACACCGGTGACTTTACTTCCGGCACAGCGTGTAACTTTATCGAACCAAATTAAAGTTATTTCTCTGTAAATAAAATAAACTTGCTTACCGGGGAACTCGCTTGTTGGACTTGCTGGCTTGTTATGTTAATTTAACCTATTCAGCCGAATGTTCTATATGCTAGTTGAAAAACTTTATGTGTTACGTTAACATACCGGACACCCATTCAGCCTGTTGTTCTGTGATTAAATGTTCCAGAATAAATTTCTTTTTTTGGTCTTGGATTTTGTGAAATACAATAAATAAATGCGACTTATAGTCCGGTACTACTTATATATGTTTATCCCTCGCCATGACGCATATTTTGACTGATGCGACCTATATTTTCCGACTTATAGTCCGGACAATACGGTACATTACACACAAAAATCTATCATGAAGTCACTTCCTTGCAATACCAAAGCACTGACTGTAAAAATTACCGCACCGTCCAACCAGGTTCAACACAGTCATCAGGTGTGCAAACACTTGTTTGTTTGCTTTATAGTAGACACACCAATCAGGTGTATAAGCACTATAAAAAGCACCAGGTGAGTTCATCGGTCTTCAAGCACAATGGAAATAGTCAGACAAGGCATGGCAGTGGAAGGTATATGATCTCCGTCTCCAGGCTGAGGTACCCCTCATCCAAGCCATGGAGGAGGCCTGTGACCAGATGGAGGTAGCAGCAATGCAAGGATGGATTCTTCATTCGAATTTACATTATATTTGTACTTTGTTGATGATAGCTTACTCAAATCATAGGGAAGTAGAAGTGCTAAAAGTGTTTTTTGGTTTATCACAGCAACTCGTGCAATCAGAGTATAGTAATGTGAAATGTGTGTGTTTCATATGGTAACAAAGTGTGGTTTTTAAACAGAAGTGTATAGTTTTTACAAGACTGTTTGATTATGCAAATTATCTGTAGTGTTTTGCTAATTGGGTGTGTGGTTGTGCTAATTGTGTTTTGTGTTTTGAAAACACGGGCGCTGTTTTGAAAATCATGCTTAAGCAATCCAAAAAAACTGTAATGTTTTGGTTCATCATTGTCATTTCACCTGTTGATTGAAACATTGCTGTCCTCTGCTGATTAATCCTTGTACTACAACAACATTTGCATTATTCCTTGTAGGACTAGGACAGGATGTCACCCATAGAAATCTTAAAAAACCAGCAAGTATTGAAGCTTCAATCCATGTTTCATCCTTAAGTCTCATTTTTAACCATAAATTATTCCTTCTCTAAACTCTACGTTTAATTAATAAAGATATTACATCAACTCTGCTACTTCAATGCCAGATTTCTTATATGGGGGTTAATAGTGGTTTCGATGCACAATTATGACAATGACATAACTAATTCATGGATGACCCTAAAGCAATAGTTGTCATTTTTTTGGGTTGAATTGTCACAGAAATGACAGTTAAACAACATACAATTTGCACATTTCATCACTTTCAACATAAAATGAAAGTCCTCCCTTTAAAAAGGTTACCTTCGAGTATATTACAAGTAACTTCAATGCACAATAGCTTGTCCCGGCAGTAATGCATAGAGTTTGAGCACCATATTTTGTGGAAATATAGGCAGGTCAAGAAAAGTCTTTAATATACAGCCTAAATCAATAAAAATAAAGCTGTAATTATCTCCCATACAAGACGGTTTTTGCCAACCATGTTCACAGTTGCTAGTTCTTGCTAGTGATAGCACTATTCTTCTGGGAAAGCGCAGTTTATGAAAAACCAATACAAGACATCAATTGGATCTTGGCAATTAACTTTTAATTAGGGCTGTCAAAAATAGCGCGTCAAAGGACGTTAATTAGTTGTTTGTTGTTAATTACGTCAATTTTTAACGCATTTCAGGCATGCGCAGTGTGACAAATTATTCAGGTCAGGAAAGTGGTTGGGAGCTAGAGGCGAGATGGAGCAAGGTGAGCAAAGTGGGCCTATTGACGGATTCAAATATAAAAAGAATGACGATGGTACAGTTAACAAGTACAAGGTTATTTGCAAGATTTGTAATAAGGAGTTTCAATTTCACCGGAGCTGTTCAAGCTTGAGGTACCATGTCAACGCAAAACATGCGTTTGCTGGGCCGTCAGGTTCAGCAAGTGGTTTGCGCCAGACCACGCTGAATGTTCGCAGGCCATTAACAAAATCAACCTCAGATAATTTGACCAACACAATAGCAAAATGGATTGCAAAGAATTGTAGACCCATTAGCATTGTAGAAGACTCAGGTTTCCTTGATGTTTTGCAAGTGGCGTCTCAAGACTCATCCTATAAGCCACCGTGAAGAGCCACAGTTATGACGAAAATCCACGAGCTCTATGAAAACGAAAAAGAAAAAAGGAAAGAGGTCTTGGCTCAAGTAAATCATATCGCCCTGACAGGAGACCATTGGACATCAGTGAGTAACAACAATTATCTCGGAGTAACTGCACATTTCATCAGTGACACGTGGGAACTGAAGTCTGTTGTGCTGACTATTGTAATAAACCTTTTCGAACCTCCACGAGGTGAGGCTGTCACTGGATTTAATTCAAGGGTAATGTTAACACTGCCACCACCTTTGTTTAACCGGAGGGTCCGGTAGTCGGAAGCTGAGACA